ACGTAAAACAGGGCTCACCAGAAAATAGAGGTACGCCCTTAGGCGAGGAGCGAAGACGTGCGGCCGCGTTCAAATCAGCTCCAGTGGCGTGGCGAGAATAGCGATATATCGATTGTTATGCCATTTAAACCTATGGAAAAGGATCGATTAACAGGGTGTTCGCAGCGAACACCTTAATAATCGATTCTTTACCATAGGTTCAAATGCCTTAACAATCGATATATCGCAATTCACGCCACGCCACTGATCCGCTCCCCGTTTTCCTCGTAGCAGAAGTTCCACGTTCCTGGAAGAGAGGATCGGAGACCTGCGTAGGTATCCTCGAATCAGAGTATCATGACGCCATTCGACCCCACTTTTATCGTGAATGATGCGTCATTATAGAGTCGCGGGGAGGATTCCTCCCTAATCCGCCACCACCCTTCGTGGTTGTCACGTCAAGAGGCAAATAATCCCGGATACGATGATTCCGAAGGAAGAACGACCTATGCTCATTCGAGCAATGCCAAATGTACAGGGTGTCCCGGGACTGGATTGAGATCCCGGGAACGTATTTTAAAGGTGGAAATGATACGTTTGTGGGGAAAGTTGTGAAAATTTTCCCTTGAAAAGTATCTTAAATTACTAAGAAAATGTATGGAAAAATCCTGACATAAAATTGAAAATTTGGGTTTGATTAATTGAACTGCATTTTACATATAGAAAGTACAATTTTTGCTCAGTTTAGAAACATCATACCATTGGCTTCATAAAGCCATAGGTGTTTTTACGAACTTTTCCCAGGGGGTTAAACATCCCACCTGCAGGAGACTGTTCTAGAGGGCAAGGTACGATTTTTTTCTTCGAGAAATTTTTTTTTTTTTAAAAAAGTGCCTCGGGATAATGTTGCGCCCACTGCCACACTTTTGGAAATTTATAGCACATAAATTCATTTACTGAAATCCTTAATGATAAAATACGCATTTTTCGAAACATTTTTGGAGGTTTTTTGGAGGTTTTTTCAAAAATGTTTCAGTAAATTACATTTGCAATTCAATCTGCTGTACTTGAAAAATTAAAGAGAAACATTTCCATACCTTTCAGCGAGAATATATTTTTATGGGAGGGCACGTGGCAAGATTTGAATGCCCATACGAGGTTTCATCTTAATGGGGAGCAGCTTATATTTCATACTTGAAGCGGGTGTTTCGAGGGTAACTTGGCACGATCTCGCTTTATTGTTGACTTGCACACCTCTGAAAAGATGCAAAGCCACAGCTCTCGACCATCTTCCGGTGTTGTCTGATTTATGCGCGAATGGAGGGTTCAGGTTTGATTAAGCCTTTGGAAGGTTCTCTAGCAAACAATAGATGCGCTGATTAGAGGCTTAAGACCTTCCGTGCTCCATTAACCCTCGATATTAGACTTCTCGGTTAAAAAGCAGAGCTAATGACTCAGTTTTAAGGGTCTGCTTGCGATGGGTTTGTTATTAAGCCCTGTTTCATTACCTACGATCCCATGACTCTCCTATGAGCCTACGGCTGTGTACCTATCGTCAGGGACTCAAGCTTAAAATTCTTGTTGCGCCAAACAGCATATCAGCAAGGGGGAAAATTTTACTCGAAATGAGTTTGAGCAATGTCGAAGCCCCGTAGAAAGCGCCTCTGCGTATGCAGACATAAGGTGACCTTGGCTGATTGACTGAGTGTGTCTGCAGCTTAGAGCCTATATTCACGTCAATTTTTGTCACGAAAATGTTTTGTCAGAAGTGCAGGTTTATTTTCAATCAGAGTCTGGAGACAATTCTGGATTTATGTTACATCTAATGCATGCCAAGATTTCCTACGTGCTTTAAATGTATATGACCACTTTACAACTTGGCATTGCTTTAATAGCTGCTGTGGCGGTTGACTCGGCGCTTTGTGAGTTGTCGCACACTTTTTGACATCCAGAATGTTAAATCAACATCCTTTTTTTCGGTGATGAATAGGCTCAAATGCTTGAGGCGCTCAGAATATCCTGTGACCAATTTTCCTGATTTCTTCCTGATAACATCAAATTCCCTGATATTTTCCGGTTTTTACTGACGAGGGACACTCCGACCGATCCTTTTCATTAAATCAATTTGCTTTACTCGGATATTTCGCAGGAAAATGTTTTCCATTTCTCAATTATCCCAGAAGTAGCCCGATCATCCAATCCAACTTCGGTTCCCGGATCCGGAATTCAGTTTTCCGAAATTCAGTACTACCGAAAAGTTCAGTTACCCGAAATAAAAGTTCCGTTTTCAAGAAACGGCAGCGACGCTTTCAAGATTATTAACACGTGTATATTTTCCCTTTTTTTCAAGTTCATCTCGAGTTGAAGCAGACGGGCGGGGGCAGCGAGCAGCGAGCAACGAGCACTTCCCTTTCGCACCGAGGGCTTACTGTCTTGAGGCTCGTTGAAACTTTCACCCCTGACGTCGCGTCGTTAGGCTCCCGCGGGGG